AGCCTGGGCTTCTCTTGTCTACTAGCTGCCTACTTTCACAAATCTTAAAGGAGCAGAATTATTATGTATGAGACCTCTACTACTTTGCAATATAACTGGCCAACAACTTCAGAAGCCATTACGGGGAGAAGGACACCAGAAAATGCAATTACTTAAGATCTGTTTTTGTAGAAAAGTGAGTTAAAAATCCTCACTTTTTATTTCTTCCCTGCCACAATGAATCAGGCACTTTTTAAAACAATAAGGCAGAGAAGACATAGAAAGACAGGCAGATGAGACTATTACTATTATGTGAAAGGCTGGAACTGGACATTAATCTTGCAACAGGCCTAAAGGTGGTGATATTAAGCAGCTTCTATAAGGCTGTTGACTAAGTCAGTGCTTATTTTGGCATACGTACCTGAATGTGACATCCAAGCATCAGAAGTATAACTGAAGCCCCCTCTAGCTCGATACGCAATTTTACCAGAAATAGGCTATTCTTATGTAATAGCCAATCTACTTTTAACTTAGCTACACAGCATGCAAAAACATCTTATAAAGATATCAATAAATACAACACCCCAGAACTAAGATATAAGCCCCAATAAAACTAAATTGCTGTATTTTGCTAACATTTACAAATTACAGACCAAACAGGGACCCATAACCTCTCTAAGAGTTTTAATGGTCATGTAAATGGCTGAGTAACACACGTACAAAGATACATGTAAAGGTATGTACCAAAGGCCTTGGGAATCTGGGGAGGCCCCTGCTGACTGGAAGCTGGCCAATGTTATTCCAATTTACAAACAAAGCGTGAGGGAAGACCCAGGAAACTACAGACCTGTTAGTGTAACCTCAGTTCCTGGAACAATTATGGAGAAGACTATACTGGGTGCTACTGAAAGGCATTTAAAGAATAATGCAATCATCAGGCACAGTCAATGTAGGTTCACAAATCATAGAATCATAGAATGCTTTGGGTTGGAAGGCACCTTTAAAGGTCATCTGGTCCATGGCCCCTGCAATGGGCAGGGACATCTTCATCTAGATCAGGTTGCTCAGAGCCCCGTCCAACCTGGACTTGAATGTTTCCAGGGATGGGGCATCTACCACCTCTCTGGGCAACCTGTGCCAGTGTTTCACCACCTTCATCATGAAAATTTTTTTCTTGTGTATAGTCTAAATCTACCCTCCTTTAGTTTAAAACCATCACCCCTTGTCAAGTTGCAGCAGGCCTTGCTAAAAAGACTATCCTCATCTTTCTTGTAGGCCCCTTTAAATTATTGAAAGGCTGCAATAAGGTCTCCCCGCAGCCTTCTCTTCTCCAGGCTGAACAGCCCCAGCTCTTTCAGCCTTTCCTCATAGGAGAGGTGTTCCAGCCCTCTCATCATTTTTGTAGCCCTCCTCTGGACCAAAGCAAAGTCCTGTTTAACTATTCTGATATCCTTCTATGATAAGGTCACCCACCTAGTGGATGAAGGGAAGGCGGTGGATGTGGTTTTTCTGGATTTTAGTAAGGCTTTTGATGCTGTGCCTCACAGCATCCTTCTGGACAAGTTGTCCAACTGTGGGATGAGTGGGTTCACAGTTTACTGGGTGAAGAACTGGCTGAAGGGCAGGGCTCAAAAGGCTGTAGTGGAGGGGGCCACATCTGGCTGGCAACCGGTCACCAGCGGTGTTCCTCAGGGCTCAATTCTAGGGCCAGTGCTGTTCAATGTATTGATCAGTCATCTGGATGCAGGACTTGAACACACCTTTAGCAAGTTTGCTGATGATACCAAACTGGGAGGTGATGTTGACTGTCTCAAGAGACAAGAGGCCGTGCAGAGGGATCTCGATAGAGTGGAGCACTGGGCAATGATTAATGGCATGACATTTAACAAGAACACAATGTCGTCGTCTGCACCTAGGATAGGGTAACGCTGGGCACAAGTGTGAACTGGGAGAGCAGTGGCTGGAGAGCAGCCCTGCAGAAAGGGATCTGGGGGTGCTGGTCGAC